CCTTTATGGGGCAAGGTGACGTGGGATCACCCCCGAGTATGTGCATGGAAAGGTTATACAGCGATTCGTTGGCTTTTGGAACAACTCTGGGCACGTTCGAGGACGAACGTATGTTTAAGTGGGGGGGGGGGGGGGTGTAACGACCCGAATGATCATTTTGAGCATTTTCACTTCGCTCGCCAGTTCTCGGGCATGGCTAGCCCCGTATGATGTATTATGACTTATGTAAATCGTCGGTTTTGGTTTTCAAGAAGTCGGAACAGATGTGGAAGGATGATTCTCAGCTTGAAGCTTTAAATTTGAAAGGTTTGACTCAGTCTTGACTTTTTAGTATTCGATCTCGGATTAAGATTTTTCACGATTTGGTTAGCTCTGTCGGGTGATTTTGGACTTAGGAGCGTGTTCGGAATGTATTTTGAAGGCCCGTGGTAGATTTAGGCTTCAATTGGCGAAATTAGAATTTTGGCGTTTTCCGGTTGGTAGTGGAAATTTTGATATTGGGGACGGAATGGAATTCCGGAAGTTGTAGTAGGTCCGTTTTGTCATTTGTGATGTGTGTGCAAAATTTCAGGTCATTCGGGTGAGGTTTGATAGACTTTTTGATCGTTTGCGGAATTTGTAAGTTTCTAAGTTCTTAGGCTTGAATCCGAGGTTGATTTGATGTTTTGACGTTGTTTTGAGTGTTCCAAGGTTGGAACAAGTTTGAATGATGTTATAAGATGTGTTGGCATGTTTGGTTGAGGTCCCGAGGGCCTCGGGTGAGTTTCGGGTGGCTAACGGACCAAGTTTGTGGTTTTGAAAGTCGCAGATTTTTTTGCTGTTCTGTTGCAGAGGTTCCTTCTTCGCGATCGCGTGAGGAGGCTCGCGATCGCGTAGAGCATTTGTGGAGGCGGTCAAGTTTGTTCTTCGTGTTCACGCTTCAAGGGCTGCGATCGCGATGGTTGATTTGGTGAAGCATCGCGAACGCGTGGGGTAGGTCACATTCGCGTAAGGTTAAGTGGTCCGCGATCGCGTAGGAGTGAGGGGCAGAGCATCTCGTTCGCGTGGAGAGGGACGTGTTCGCGTAGAGTTATTTCAGGAGCCAGCAAAGTTGTTCTTCGCGATCGCGAGGGTCTTTCCGCGATCGCGATTAAGGAAATAACCCCTGAGCAGAATGTTTAATGAGAGGTCTTCGCGATTTTTGGCCATATTTCACCATTGTTGAGCGGTTTTGGAGCTTTTTGGGAGTGATTGAGGAGGGATTCGAAGGGAAACACTTGGAGGTAAGATTATTGAACCTAAAACTCGATTCTATGTTGATTTTCAATTGTTTAAACATGGAATTTATGAAAATTAGTGGTTAAAATTGGAGGTTTAGAGCTTGAAATTGGAGACTTTGATTTAGGGATTTGAGGGGTCGTTTGTGGTCGGATTTTGATGCTCTTCGTATGTATGAATTCGTGAGAGTGTAGAGATTCTAGTTTTGTAATTCTTATCAGAATTCGAGATGTGGGCCAGGGGGTCGGATTTGGCCAATTTCGGGATCCTAGCGTAAATTTGGTTATTTTCGCGTGGGCTTTGTTCCTTTAGCTTATTTTGATGTTATGATTTTGATTTTGGATAGATTCGGGGCGAGTTGAGGCCGATTCGAGAGGCAAAGGAATCGCGGGCTAGAGTTTGGACCAGATTGAGGTAAGTAATGATTGTAAATGTTGTCCTGTGGGTATGAAACCCCGGATTTCACATCGTTATGTTATTTTGAGGTGACGACTGACGCACACACTAGATGACAAGCGTGGGGTCGTGCATCGTTGGAGATTGTGACTTGGTCCATCCCGTACGGCTATTAAGTCGCGTATTTCATTGAAAATTGTTTGATACTATTGTGTTTTGGAAAGTATTACTATGTTTGGGGCTGAATGTCGTATTTGGGCCTTGTGCCGACTGTTTCGACCCTTAGGGGCTTTTTACTAATGTTTCCTTATTGTTTTTGATAATATTTACACTTAGTCATTCTATGCTTTCACTGATTTCATAACTCGGATTTTATTTACTCCTTTTGATTTTATAAATGATATTTTGAGCCGAGTACCTATTTTACTGTTAGCCCGATGGGCTTGAGTGAGATATGACTGAGTGAGGCCGAGGGCCTGTCTTGTGAGGATATCATGGGATCGGGCTGCGCCCCGCAGCATGTGGTACTGATTTGTGATATATGAGAGGCCGAGGGCCTGATTTATTATGCCACGAGGTGGCTTTTTATGTGAGACCGAGGGCCTGATTGATTATGCCACGAGATGACTTGTTATAGCGCTTGGGCTGTAGGAGCCGCTCCGGAGTCTGTACACCCCCAGTGAGCGCCGGTACCCAGTGTGAGTGATGTGATATTGCCCGAGGGAATGTTGTTGCCCAATGGGCTAATTATGAGCGATTGTGAGGTAGCCCGATGGGCTGGTTCTGTTGATATTTGGCCCAGGGGGCGGTTTATGGTACATGTTTTGCCCGAGGGGCTGTTTACGGTTGACTTATTGTTTCTTACCTTATTTAAAACTATTGAAAGATGTTTTAAAAGAAAAGGTTTTACTCGAATTGAGTTTGTTTTATGAGATAATTGAGTTGTGTACTGTTTTGGAAACGTACTGTATTTGCTGTAGTGCTGTGACGTGAAATTTTCTATTTTCTTACTGCTCAACTGCTTTTACTTTCATTACTTACTAAGTTGGCGTACTCACATTACTCCTTGCACCTTTTGTGTAGATCTAGGATTCTCGAGACGCGATAGCGAGTGCTGATCAGTCTTCCAGCAGGTCTCCGGAGTTGGCTACGTAGTTGCTTGGCGTTTGCAGCCCAGCACTTCTCCTTCTTAACTTACTTAGATTGTCTTAGTATCTTATTTTCGGACTATGTTAGCCTTTCTTGTTCTTAGACGGGTTTGTAGTTGCTCATGACTTGTGACACCCCGATGTCGGGCTGGTGTATTTATTCCGCACTGGTTATTTAGACTTATGTTATGAGATTACTTGTTAATTAATGACTTAAAAATGGCCTTTATAGAATCATGGTTTGATTTGGGAATTGTGTCGGCTGGCCTAGTTTTACGATAGGCGCCATCACGACCGGGTCAGTTTTAGGGTCGTGATAGTTTATCTTCGACAAAATTGTTTTTGTTGTTATTTTGAATGGGAAGATGAAATCTCGTTGAACAGTGATTTGGTTACAACTAAAGATCTAACAACGTCCTGGGAAGCGATTAAAAATGATAGCGATAAATTGAAAGAAGAATTAATTTCCATGGAGGCTCTACACCAAGCTGAAGCTGCAAAAGTAATGAAATGGAAGAGAAGGTTTTGAAGACGAGGATGATGCTTATGATTTCATGGGAACTTTTTGTTGGATTTGTTGCGGCGTCGATGATGAAGTGAATATTGGTGAATATTGTTGACTTCTATTGCTGTGATATTTTTTTAGTTAATATGTTTTGTTTTCAGTTTTATTCTCGTTTGAAATTAGAAGAGAAGGTGTTGTGTATGTTGATTTGAACCGTTTACATTAGAGCTTGCAATCTTAGTTAATGTAATTCCAATATTTTTGTATTTTGTGTATGTATTTGAGGGCACCAATTGTGATGAACCTGCTATATTATTAGTTGATGTTATGGGCTGATGAACATAGCAGTTACAAAAGCACACAAATTGTATGTGTTGAAGGCATTGTCTCTATCAAAATCTGGACAGTTTTTAATGGTTATGAACCTGCAAATTCCTAAATCTTGGACAATGAAGGGGTTGGACAGCATATGTGACTCATAAACGAACACTTAAACCATTCATAAACCTAATAGTTAGACAATGAATAACAATGAAACGTACATGTAAATTCATAAACTAATAGTTGCTTCATCACAAGGGGAGGTCACGTTATCACCCCCAAAACTTACACAACCAAGTGACAACATGACATCCAAGTTTCCTCAACTAAACAGTAAAACTAAATTAAATCCCAAACAAGGTTATGTCACATTATCACCCCAAAAACTTACACAACCAAGTGATAACATGACATCCGAGTGAACAGGTCACTAACTAAACAGTCACACAACCAAAAACAACAAGTTTACTTGGCTAATAGTAATTACATCACAACAAAAAATATACAACCATAATAGAGTTTAGTAGCTCCACATTCCAGAATACCAAACTGCATTAGGTCTGCTTCTTCCCATTACCCTTCTTTGCTTTCAACTTGGCCAATATTTGTTTGTTAAGCTGGTTACCAGTAATGGCATTTTCCCCCTTCCATTGCAGCTCTTTTGGTGAGAATGGAAGGTTTGATGGCTCACTCACACTACTGGCATCACCAACAAATCTAATTGCTCTTGTTCCAATTGTTGTACTTTGTAGCTGCCTCAATTATAGCCTAGTCTTTGCCTCGGAGATACTTCTTGGCCTTATAGCTATTTCAGGCTCTATATCAAAGTCTGGGTAGTTGAAGCCTGGGAAGGCACTGGAGCTTGGTTCTTTCCTCTGCACTAAAGGGGTTGGCATGAACAACAAATTGCTGGATTGACTTGTTTGAGTAGGCTGACTTTGCTGAGGGGATGACAAAGGAATTTCCTCATCAGTGGCTTCTTATGGCACCGGTGCAGGAGAGGGAGATATGGGTTGTTCATTATCAGTAGCGTCTTCAAGTAAAGTTCTTTTCCTTTGTGTCTGCTTTCCCTTCTTCTTGCCTCAAATGGGCTGCTTTCCTTTAGAATGTTGTTAGTAAGAAAGAAAGCTTTTATTAGATGTTGAAACAAAAGAATGATAGAAAAAGTTATAGTATTGATTACCTTTGCACACCCTCTAGCATTGTGTCCAGGTTCACCACAGTTGTTACATGTCATTACCCTCCTTTCCTTGACTGAGACCATTGTCCTTGCCTATTAATTTCCTCATATTTTCTCTTGTTCTCTTAACCTTTGGTCTTCTAGCGATCTTTACCTGGGGAGGTGGAGCCATGTATTGTGAAGGGTCAATTTTTTAGAACTTTTCTCCTCTTACTGGTTGTAACTTATGTGAATAAGTTAGGAGATAAGCCTCTTTGGTAAGGTACCGATGAATCTGATTTAAAGGGTTCACTTTCTTGTGCAACAATGCACAGATTGCATGAGGACATAGAATGCCACAAAGATCCCATGCCTTGCAGGTACATTTCTTTAACCTCAAATGCACAATGTGCCTGTCACTACTTTCAGTCACCTCATATCCATTGTCTGCATTGCCATTAACATGAGACTTTAATGCAATCCTCATGAATTGGTTGTACAGCTCCATGGTTTTGGGACTGTACTCATTTCTCCATGTCATCACCTCAACTTCATGTTCATTAATCATGTTCATCACCTTGATTCTAATATCCTCAAGCATCTTAATGATTATCTTGTGCCTTGCTTGCAAGATCCATGCATTGAATGACTTAGTCAAGTTGTCCACATACTGGTTCTTGCAAATAGTATCAAAGAATGCCCTACTCCAACATTTTGGTGGATACTTTGACAAATCTTCAATAACTTCCTTTCCATCATCATCTACTTGACTCATACTCTTTATCTGATATTTGAAGTCCTCTTCATAAGTACTCCATGCAGCCCACCAAAGGAATTTTTTGAACTCACTAGAACCCCATCTCTTACACCAATTTGCTTCTATATGTCTTACACAAAATCTGAAGTGTGACTCAGGAAGAACAATTTGGATTGAGTCAATCAACCCTTACAAATATCAGTAAATATCATCAGATAACAATACAAAGAAACTAAGAGAACAACTGAAAATAACAATACAAAGAAACAGTACATACCTTCTGCATATCATACTATATTATAAGCATGCAAACTTTTAGGTAAAGTTATTTTACTAAAATATCTTTTGAAAACTAAGTGACCATTTTACCCTTCTAGAACCCACAATGATTCGTTAATTAATCTATATATTAATAAAACCCTTAAATTTTAAACAGATGCATCTTTTCCTCTTCTTTCTCTCACCTCTTCATGAATTTCCTACGAATAGTTATAAGGAAAACTGATCTCATCATATTAATCTACAAACTGATATATATCCTCTTCTTCATCTTCTTTCATTTTATGATGTTTCATAATTGTTATTTTGTTCATTATCCATAACTATTATTTGTTGGCTCTTATATATATATATATATATATATATATATATATATATATAAGCCTTCTAATTAAGAATAATCTTCAGAATATGATAGGTTGTTTAGTTTCAGGCAGCAGCCAAAAGATTGGGACATTCATAGTAGCTTATTGGAGATATGAAGCAAAGGTAAGAAATTCCTTATTTCTTGAATAACCTAAGCATATTATTTGTGAATTTCATCAAGATGTATGTATTAAAGTGTGGTGGACAGTTTTTGGATGCAATTTCTCTGATTTCCTTTTTTTTTTTTTTTTGAAGATTCAGACTAAAGTCTAAAGGCTTTAGAAGACATCCAAACCCTAAGCTACCTTTTAATGTTTTAATTACATAAATGCATATTTTTCACAAAAAATTGTAACATGATGAAAAGGATCTATAATTTCATCGCATCTTCAAGTCTAATTCGATCTATTAGCAATAGATTGTTTGTTTCCATTTTGTTTTTTAGGNTATATATTAGTTTTAATATGACCATTTCTTTTTGTGTGTGTATTAGAGTGCGAAATCATGAATGTGTTAATTGTCATGAATGTCTTGATAAATTATTTATTTCAAATTTTATGTTCCTAAGCCGCTTAAATTTATAAAAGTATTTGCGAATAATTTTACGTATTTGTATATCATATTTTATGAACTTAAACTATTCTAAATTTTTTTTTGTTTCTCTAGCGAGGGAATTTTGGAATATCAACTACTATATCAGTAGTGTGCTAATCAATACAACAATTCAAAAGGCAATAGAGCTCTGAAATAAATAATTTATAGTATTTTTACTATCTTCAGAATTGGTAATATGTATTCTCCGCATATAGCAAATTTTACTTATGCTCATACTATTGGATTAGAAGCCATGATATATCATTTATGTAATTTATGAATTTGTAGCTACTATAAAAAGCTAAAGGTCTATAATATCAAAGAAAAATCGATTGCACATATGGTGTTCCGGCTTATATGACTACACTTTGTGAATATTATGTACTTGCTACATAGTATATGCTAATTTGATATTAATGGAGTTAGATTTAGGAGCCAGAATTTCGTTTGAGGTGTAAAATATCTATGTAAATTTATATAGCTTTTGTAGTTTTTGTTTGCTCTAGGACTTTATTTTTTATACATAGTTTTTTGTCTTCCCTCCCCGCCCCCCCCCCCCCCCCCCCGAAATATGGCATAGAATGCCTAGAATAGTCAACATGAGAATTTTGCTATTTTCTTAGTTAAAATTCTTATTGGCAGGGGGCAATGTAAAAACGTTGATGTGAAAATAACATCAAATTTTAGCTTTGTATAGCATATTTGTTTGACTTGGATATTTTAAGAGCATAAAATTACTAAAGAACGACAACTTAAATTGTGGTGCATGATAGAGGGGTTTTAAATTTCTTTTTACCCTTGTTCTTTGGCAAGTGTCAAATGGATCAACTATGATGACATTCAATTTGGTTACACATTTTGCTAATTCATCTTGTACTTTTTAAGCTTCAAATTTTTGTTTATACTAATATTTATGTTATTTAAAATAAATTATATTGATTGATATGGGACATGTCCAAACACTAGTCTGATATAAATGTGATTCCTTCATCCATTTTAAGGTCTAGTGAAGACTGTAGGTGACCTAAGAACCACTTCCAAGTAAGTTTTGTTTCTTTGTCAACAATAGCCCAAGCCAATGGATATAAATAATTGGCAGAATCTTGGCCAACAGCCACAAACAGTTGACCTTTAGCTTTCCCTTTCAAAAATGTTCTATCCAATCCAATGAAAGGTCTCAAACCACTCTTCAACCCAGACTTCGTTGCTTGAAAACAAATATACATCCTTAAAAACCTCCTTTTGCCTTCTTCATGAGCATCTTTTGGTAAGTTAATTATCACATCACTCCCAGGATTGCTAAGTTTCAATTGATTAGCATAGGCAACAAGTTTATTATATTTATATGAAAAAGTACCTTCAAGTTTCTCCAAAATTATTTTCTTTGCCCTTTTGCACTTAGATCACTAACATCTACATTAAATGCAGCTTTCAAGCTTGCCCTCATCTCTTTAACCTTAATTTTGGAATTATCTTGCAAGCCTTTTTTAAAGTAAGCAGCAATTGTATTTGCATCAACTCTTTGATTTTCAAATACAGGTTCATATGTGTGCTCAGGCTCTAAAGTCTTGAATTTAACCCCATGTTGATACCCAATTTTTTCCTATAATATTTTTTCAAAATGCATATATACCTCCAAAACTATGCATTAGCATCAATTAATATTTTTTTTCATAATTGCTGCATTTTTAAGGGTTTTAGTTAATTTATCCCAGTATTTTTATTTATATAAAGAATTAATAATTGCATCACAAATAGTTTTAGAATAATTTTGTGGCTTAATTTTATTATTTGCGTCTGTACTAAGTTTTAATTATTTCAAAAATAGTCATATTTGCATTTTTGGGGTTATAAAAAAATTGCAATGACTTTGCAATTATAGCCCATGCGTGCATTATTACATTATTTTACCGAAAAATAAATTTTTTTATTTTTAAATACTAAGTAATTATTTTAAAATATTTTTAGGCATGAAAATCATTTTTATAATCTGTTAATTATTTTTTAAAATTGTTTCTATCAATTAAACGGGTATTTAACAAATAGCCCTTTATTTTCGGACCTAGCCTAATTAAATGGACCAATTTCAACCCCAAATCCCTAACCCACTAAGACCAGGCCCAAATTGAATTAAAACCCGGCCCCCAAAGCTTCAATCCTGGTTGTTGATCACAAAGATCAACGGCCACCGTTCACTCTTACCATTTTTAACCTGAATAACCCCCTAACCTAATTCATTCTTACCAAACAGCCACCCTAGAATCCCTAATCCTCTCCGTCTCTCTAAGACCTAATCCTAACCCTAACCGCCGCCACCCAAAACCAGCCCTAATCCCTTTGATTCCTATTCAATCCATGGATTTCCATGGCTGTTTGAGACTTTTGCCTGTCTCCTACATCTCATGGTTGCTCGTTCTTGCGATCTCTGGAAAGATCTCGAAGAGATCTAGTCCAGAACTTGTCCAAGACTCTCCGAGGGTCCGTCTATGGTCTGTGAGTGCTTTTCTATCGATGTTTTACGGTGCAAATCTCTGGTTCAAGGCCAGATTATCTTTACCCTTTCCTTTTTCTTCAAAACCCTAATGTTTAGACTTGAATCTGTCCAGATCTTTGTAGATCTGGATCGATTCTAAGTTCATTACTGATTTTTCTTTAAGATTCTCTTATTTCTCTGCTATTAACCGATTTTTAGCACTGTGTTACGAAGGGGTTTTTGGTTTCCTTGTTATTTGTTGTCCGAATCTCTTCATATTTGAAGTGTTTCAAGTTTCCATGGCCGTTTTCTTTAAGGGTCCTATGATTTTTCCACTATTAATCAACTTCAGGTATTTTTCAAATTAGGGTTTTGGCTTCGCAAAAGGTTTTCTGAGATCCTTATGTTTTGTTTAATCTTTCTCGCATGATTATGTTTCTCACCCTTGGACCCTTGAACTGTTTTACTCCTAAATTATTTTCCTTAAACTGTCACTACTATGTCAAGCACTCTCATTTCTACTCTTAGATTACTTAAGTTCTGCCCCTCCAGTGTGTGTACTGCCTAGGAATCCATGAGATTCTTCCGATGGCACAGTGGGGCTGGCCCTTCCACACTGCACATAACTACTCTTCTATTTAAAAGGATCTTGGTGTGAGCATTTCTCGGGGTCCCTGAGGCCCTTGGGAACTTTGACACACCAGGATACCCTTATTGAACATCATGAGACGATAGCATCTGCGACTGTTTGAAGGCCTGGTCTGCCAGGTTTATCATTGGGCCTATTTCAGGCTACATATAGTATAGCTTTTATTCATTATGTAATTCATTTATGGTCTATAATAATAATCCTTGTAAACAGATATTGGGGAAACTAGTAAAAGGGAAGGGGATTCTTATATGATTTTTGTGAGGGAAATCGGGTAGAAATCATGCCTTCAGGTTAACTACGCTTACTTGCATTAGAAATCATGCCTTTGGTTAATTATGTTTATTTTCTTTAGAAACCATGCTTTAGGATTGTTTGGCATACTAGAAAACATGTTGTAGGCTCATAACTGCGTTTGTTACGATTTTTTGTTTCTCCATAATCATGATCACTTAGAAATTCTGTTATTAAATTACTGCTATAATCCTGCTTAACAAAAACGTCCATTCATTATGTGCATTAGAGATCCTGCTTTAGGATTGTTATTGCATTCGGCTTAAAACCATGTCTACTTCGCATAAATCAGTAACTATCCCATTTAAAAGCAATCCCAACACTTAGATATCATGTTCTAGGATTAAATGTATGTAAACCAGCTCTGTAATGTTAAGCAACTAGACCAGCATGCCTATAGGACTTAATAAGTTCAAAATTATTTGTTTTAAATTAATCATGATTACATTTTAAACAACATGTTTATAGGGTATCTCCGCCTAGGCAAGCCTGTAGGTAATTAAAATCTTATAAAAACTGGAAACTATGCTATGCTTATTTGTGAACCGCCCAGATTCAACATATTCTAAAATCAGTAGGCAAATTGGTTAGGTCTTTAACGCTTTGCCTTTACTCAATTCTTTTCTTGTCATTCCCACCTAGATATCCTGTTCTAGGACCTCTCTGAAACCTTTAAAATTTGTTGTTTGAGACGTGCACTTATTTGCTCTATTTGTGGAAGTAAAATGTGAGCCTTTTAACTGTTCTATCTTTGGTCCAGTCCTACATGTTTTGTTTGTCGCCTAGAATTTTCTCCCTTTAATCAATATAGGAGAGTCTAGATCCACCATAACTAGAAGTCCTAAATACCTCTGGGACTATATAAGTAAAGCGATAGGTAATGCACGCATAGGATACATTCCTAAGGTTGTTAGAACGCTTTAGGCTATGACCAAGGGAATGGTAATTGGGTAGTAAAGGATATGATGACCTGTACGCTAATGCCACGTGTAACCCCTCTATTTGAGAAAGGCTTACCGGGTATTGTACAGATGTGATCCTATAGGCCAACAAATCTAGGACCCCCCTTTACCTCGTTTAAATAAACTTTATGTGTTTATGTGCTTTGTTTCTTTAATGACTAATTCACATAATTTGAGTTCGGCCGGGACCCACCGTTGTGGACTGCGAGGGGTGCCTAACACCTTCCCCTCAAGGTTATTTCGAGCCCTTACCCAAGTCTCTGGTAATGCAAATCGGTTTTATGAGTTATCTGCTCTAGGTTCCCTAACGCACCTTAATCCGTTAGGTGGCAACTCTTTAAATTCAAATACCCAATTCCCAAAAGGAAATGAGTTGTTCCCAATGAATGTCGAAACCCGGACTCCGCGAAGAAAAAAGGGGTGGGGATATTTTAGGCTCTTACCATAACGAACTTGATTTTGTGAATTAGTCCCAAGCATGCTTTAGTTTGATACAACCTTTCCCTTTCCCCTTATTTGGATTTAATTGCTTATTTTCAAGCATTTATGATTTCTTTTATTTCCTGAAACTAACTTGTTTTCTTGTTTTCCTTTTGTAACTGTCTTTCATTTATTTAAATACCGCATTTATCATTTTTGACGTGCAAATAATTGACAACATGCTATTTATTGTTGCATAAATCATGCTCGACATCATATTCCGCTCGTGCTTAATCAATCCTATAGCAACGCTTGATGGGTGTTTGCGCTCTTCCTATATATCACCCTTTTAAATTCGGATAGGCGTATTTGCGGTAAAACTAGTCGATCAGCGGTGCGTTCGACGGTTCCGTGCCTTTCCCCCTCAAGTTTTCCGCTTGAGGGTCCCAGTCTAGACCTCTATAGTAACCTTACTCTGATCAATTGTGCATGCATCATGGTCAAACCTAGCCGGGTTAATATGTTGTCCGCATAATAACCCTTTAAGACAAGCCTCACCCAAAAGTCCATCGGGTTTTCCATAGTCCCAACGGACGCAACCTCGATTGTGTGCATTAATTTGGAGAAGTAAGTGCCAATATGCTAATCATTGTTGTATAAATAGACGAACCTGGAGGGGGAAAGGTGTATTGGGAAAAAACTGAATTTAAATATTGAAGATGACGTGTCATGACACGTGGACCGGTCAAATAGTCAAAGCATGGTAATCAGTTAGAAGCCACGAGCAACAACAGATGCGGGAGAGAAGATATTTAAAGGCACGAGCTATTATTCAGATGAAACGAGACTCGTACCTGTTCGAGTCATTTAAAGCTCGAAGATCAGAAGGAATTGAAGACATGAATCTGATAGCGTAAAAGAGTCCAAATTCGACATTAAATGCCAAATACGTTAGAGAATTTGTATTTAACAAGAATGATTGAGTAACGTTTCTTTTAATGTCATTTATTGCTCATAATTGCCTCATTAAGACAAAGGCATTACACTTTCTCTTAGAATTAACTATAAAAGGAGAAAGTCACAACATCTGTAGGACACGAAATATCATTAAGATTACATTGAAATACAAACTTATTTACTGCTTTATTATTCTCCTAAATTCTTTATTCTTTTCGTCTCCTGATTATCAGTAACCCGATTTTTTCTCTTAATTTCTAGTTTTAACTGAAGTTCTATTTTTTGGTTAAACAAATTGGTTCCGTTACCGGAAATCTGATAATCAAGCATATCTCAATCTAATTTTCCTGATTGCGTTAATCACGTCAAACAACAATGACAACACTCAAGGAAACCCAGAAATTCAGACAATCCAACAACTTCAGGGAGATTCCCCACAAGGCTCTCCACAAGGTTCTCCACGAGGCTCCC